TGTGGTTTGCCGTGGAGGCAGCTCTGTTTGAGCAACAGGGGGCCACGTAAGACGTGGTCCACTGTCTGTGTGCCCGTAGTCCCGAGCAGACCCTGAGGTGACTCCACCCCTCGCAGGCATTACACTTGACTGAGGTGGAGTTGTGGTGTAATCGTCTTCGGCATACACAGCAGGTGTATATTTCTGGCCCAGGGTTTGACTCGATGCCAGCCCTGAGTAGGAGAATGCGTAGTGAATGTTGCCCTATGGACGGACAACTTCTGAGATACTTCGCCGACCTAAACGGGGTTAGATCGCCGAAACAACAGCCCTTGGTCGGGCGAAACCCGAGTCATTCCGGTACGTAGAACCGGCTGTCGTGGGAATGATTTTGTTGCCGTCTCATAAGCTGGTAACAAATTATTGCCCCGTGAAATATGCAATGCCAGGATTTGCACAATTCTTCACAGCTGAATTGCTGAATATTTTAACGCATTGCCAACGTACCTATAATCGCGGTGACAAGAACTGGTAACATTTTTTGGTAATACAATTTTCCGGTTACAAAATCTTCGGTAATGTGCAAAATAGACCTGATAATGAGCTCGGTTTTTATGGAAAAATAATAAACATTAAATAAAAAAAAAAGAAACAGCTAAAATCTATCAAAACGGTGATGACTTAATCAGCTGATGACAAATGCATGTATAAAATGATTTTTATATTAACGAGCTCACTTCGAGTTCACAATGCATTTTAAACGTGCTCTTGTCAAAATGACATTTTAATATAACTTACGTACATATGTACTTTTGTATACAATAAAAGTTTAATAAGAACAATTTTTGGCATACATCAAGATAACCAACCGTTCAGCTATAGAAATACTAAAAATGCAGATTGCTAGTACTTTTTACCCTGATTTTAACTATATAAATATTATTTGCCGCAATTAAAGAGTAAAGTGGATATAAAAGGGAAACAAAAATATTTTGATATTTTAAAATATTAATATTTTCTAAACTGCGTAACCGAAAGGTAATTATATCAAAATAAAGACAATTAATTTATCTTCAAGCTGATATATAAAATGTGTATGCTTTTTTATATATTTCAGCCAGAAATATTATAAAACAAAAAAATGTCATAATTTTTTCATAAAATAACCTTTTTTTAGAAAAAGTCTATAATCAATACTAAACAAATTTATATTATTTAGAAAGTGCAAGTTTTTACCTTTAATTTGATATACATATTATATCATGATTTGCTTTTGAGTTTTCAGAATTCAGTGATAATAAAAAATATAAATGCATGTATGTGCAAATGCATATTGTAGTTAATTCAACGGGTTGGCATTCCATTATGGCCGTTCGTTAAAGGGGCGGTGGCCGAAAGGTAAGCGGACGTGGCACCTTTAACCCACCTTTTTGGAGAGGGAATGAACCGCCATTGACATAAATGCAACCCCCGACAACCTAGGTCCCCTATGGTTTCCTAGGAAAATGGCCAAAATTCACAATTTTCATTTGCGGTTTTTCGCTTGAAAAATGTTAAATATTCATTTGCACAAGACATTTTTATATACAAGACATTTTTATAAAACACCTAGTAACCGTAATAGACATCAGTGGGGCGGCAGCCCCAGGTTTACCACACTGAAAGGGAATTTTAGTTACCTCATCCTTTCCCAAGGCTACATCACTGGGGCGGTAGCACCAGTTGGTGCACACCAAAAGGAGAATTCTATTTGGTAAGGGTTATAATCCATAAGTGCGGCCGAAGGCCGCCTACACAGAAAGGTGTTCAGCTCCGCTTCTTCGGCAATACAGAAAGGAGAATTCTACTTTGTAAGTGTTACAATCCCTAAGCGCGCCCGAAGGCCGCCTACGCAGAAGACGTTCTGGGCAAAAGAAACTATATCACCCTCACTTGTTACTTGCTTGTAAATGCTTTTAATGTTTTTTATCACTTGCACTTTCTAAATAATATATGTCTTTAGCATTGATTATGCACTTTTTTCTAAAAATAGTTATTTTATGAAAAACTTATAACATTTTATTTGTTTTCTAATATTTTTGGCTTAAATAGATAAGCAAGCAAACACATTTTATATATCAACTTAAAGATAGATTAATTGTCTTTATTTGGTGTTATTACTTTTTTAATCGGTTACGTAGTTTAGAAAATTTTAATATTTTAAAATATCGCAAAAATTTTGTTTAACCTTTTATATCTTCTTTACTTTTTGATTGCGGCAAATAATATTTATATAGTTAAAATCAGCGTACAAAGCATTATCGGTCTGCATTTTAAGTTTTCCCATTGCTGAACGGTTGGTTATCTTGATGTGTTCCCAATTCTTTGTACATTCATTTGAATAAGACGTTTTTGGGTAGAAATTGACGATTTTTCAGACCAAGAGGAACGTTTTCTCATTCCTAAGACCTGGCAACACTGGTCCAGCCCCTCTTTGAAAACGCAGAAAGGAGAATCCTACGTAGTGAGGGTTATAATCCCTAAGCCAACGCACAAGGTGTTCGTGCAAAAAGGCGTTGCGCTCCTCTTCTTCGGTAACACAGAAAAAATAATACTACTTATTAAGGGTTATAATCCGTAAGCGCGGCCAAAGGCCGCCTACCCAAAAAGGAGTAGGACGCCTGTTCCGCTAAAGTGCGCTTTTACCAAAATTTTTTGTAATTTTTGTGCATATAACATTTATACATCTGAATAAAGCGGCTCATGTTTCCTAATGAATGAAATAAAATAATTTTAGGATCCGTGCGTTGCTTTCAGAGACATTTGGAATTGAAAATAAGCGCTTCGTTTGACTTTTGACCTTTCGTAACTACCGAACAATTTCCGCCCCAAAAAAATTATACCGTTATACTTGCCTCAAAAACCTATATAAAACTCAATTTTTGTTTTTGCAATTCTCCCAATGTTCGGATTCTTAACTTGTTCCAAAATTTTCTGGTGAAATTGTTTTCGGGCGAAACTTAGGAGAAGGCTGTGTATGTAAATTAAATCAATTTCTTGCCTTCCTTGTTTTCCGTGGTGCTCTCACAAACAACTCCAATTGAGACACCCAAAGGACTGAACAACGTTGAAGTAGTTGAAACTTGTCTTGTGTGCGAAGTCGTAACACCTTCAGCTGTCTTCAAAGCTATGCCTCCGCTTTGCTCTACGGACATAGTTACAATCATAGCGCCTGCGCTTTGCATTTGCCGGAATCCTTCGCTGCGTGTACGCTGGTTGGATATCCGACCTGATGGCTGTCGAAGCCGCAATTTTTTCAATGTCCCATCCCGAAGGGCTTTGCAATCTGATGAACGAGCAGGCATTTTTGCCCCCCAAGACTTTTAATAGCAAATTATTCACGACTAACCCAAAAAAAAAATTTTGAAGGTGACGCCAAACAGATTCTAGCAGTAACGGTGCTTTGCAAAAAATAAATACTAGGGACTTTGAAAGTATCGATGATTTATTTTCAATTAATAAATTCATCGAAAAATACTGGGAAACAGTGCTCCCGCGGTCACTAAAATTGAAGTTTTACCCAACCGAGCTAACCATTTGTGAAAATATTAAGATTTTTGTATTGCAATCGATAGTTCGTCGATTATTCTTTAATGTTCGTCCATTTTTAACGTTTGCTCGTTAGCCAATTTATAATTAATTTGGCATAAATGCAGTTTGGCTCCAAGGCCCTGTGCCAATCGGTAACTTTTTTCTCCGTGGTGAGACAGGGTGGAAAAATTTGCTATGGTGTACAAATAAATTGAATTTTGCTGTGCCAAATGCAGAGTAAAATTTTGACAGTTGAAAAACCAAACAAACGCTCGTGCGAAAGCTTTATTTTTGTGTGTTGCTAAAATTCTTAAAATTTATATTTATTTTATAATTTGCAAGTAACGTACGGTTTTTTTATGCTGTTTCAGCTTTCATTTTCATGTTCACTCCTTATTACCACCAAGCAATATTATGTGTATCCATGGTTATAAGCTGTCAAAATTTTACCTAGCCCCATGAGCTAGGTAAAATTTTGACGTTCGTATTCACCACGAGAAGTGTCAAATTTTTACTTTGATCCGTCAAAATTTTCTATCAATTGGCACAGGGCCCAAATCTCAAATTAAAAAAAATATATATTGGAATCAATAGAGATGATTGACCTGAGTATAACGGTATACTTCTTTTTTTGGGCAAACAACAACAACAAAAATTATCAAAGGTTAAAGTTCAAAATAAGCAATTTTTGAAATCAAGATTTCTTAAAAACGGATGGATATTTCTTGAAAATTTTGATCTCATTTAATAGCAAATTTGATTCCCTTTAACTTGCTATACGTACTTTATATATATGTTGTATAGTTCTTCCAAAAATTTAATTAATGTAAAAGAATTATAAAAAAAAAGCCTACATTTTTACAGCTAATGCAAACTATGGTTTTATATAAAAACTTAAAAAAACGCCGCAGGTATATAAAAGTATGCTTATACCTGCGGCGTTTTTTTAAGTTTTTATATAAAACGATAGTTTGCTATACAGATAATGAAAATTTGGAATAAAACATCACGGGATTTTTTATTCCAAATTGTTGTCTGCGGCGCTTTTTCTTTTTCATATAAAACGATATTTTAATATATATTTAAACAAATATGTGCAGAAGAATTTTTTGTAACAAGTCATACATAAAATTAAAGATATTTTTGTGCTCTTTCTGATAATCATATTTGTTAACATAGTTAATTACGTATTTTTTTACGAAAAACATACATTTTTATAAAAAATAGCCATAATTAGGTTTTTGTACTTTTTCTCAAAATATGTATACATTATATACATAAATATATATCGAATGAAAGGTCCTTCAATCACTTTTCCAACTGTGTCCATGGTTTAAAAACCGGTTCAAAAGTTTTCGAAATATAAGCTTTTAAAAACTTGTTTTAACTTCAGGAATAACGTAAAGTGAAAATTGAAAAATTAATTATAAATTGTTGGCTAACGAGCAAACGTTAAAAATTGACGAACGTTAAAGAACAATCGACGAACTATCGATTGCAATACAAAAATCTTAATATTTTCACAAATGGGGTGCTAACGTCGGTTGGGTAAAACTTCAATTTTCAATCCACCACAAAACGCGCACCTTTACTACAACCGTAAAGGGAACTACAGCCTAAACGTTATGCTTGTAAGTTACTCCTTGTTTCTGCATTTATCTATATTTGAACTTTTTTAGATGTCGACCGCTGAGTTGATGCTCGACCTATCTCGGCAGCCGGTTCTAAAACTTCGAGATAGGTCGATAGGCTTGTTTGTATATATTTATGTTCAATATTTAGCTTTGCGACAATGAATTAAGGATTCGCTATGTTGATGCTTGTCATCCTGGGGCGTGTCACGATTCCTTCATATGGAACAACAGCGATTTGCGTGTTCATTTTGAGAGACAATATTTACAAGGAGCGAGGAATGCCTGGCTTTTAGGTATTGTTGTTAAATTAATTTACACTTGCCCGTAATTACGCGTTTTGTAAATTTTCAACAGGGGATGCAGGGTATCCTTTGGAACCGTGGCTGTTGACACCTCATAGAACTCCAGAAGAAGGCTCAAGGGAAATGAGGTTTAACGAAGCACACTCAAAGTGCCGAAACATTATTGAGCGCACCAATGGTGTACTAAAAAACCGCTGGCGATGTCTTCTTGGCGCAAGGGAGCTGCACTATACACCCGAAAAAGCTGCAAAAATTACAAATGTGTGCTGTACTTTGCATAACATATGCATTCATTTCAAAGCCAATGTTGAAATTGAACTTGAAGTGTTGGAGCCTGAAGATGCGGATGTAACACCAATTGCTTCTACGCAGTACAGCGCAGTAGCACAGTCGATTAGAGCACATATAGGATCCGCTCTTTAAATAATACGCAACTGTAAATAAATAACCTGCAAAATAAATACCTGCAACATGCAATTAATATACAACAAAGCAAAGCACCACCACATCACACAACGCACAAATTTGAATTCATAGGCAAAGTGGCCGCCCAAAAGTTACTTATATGTCGAGCACAACATGCACAAAGGTTAGTACCTAACTTAATTTTCCATAAAATATATCAACTAACTGAGGTTTTAAAAATTCGATTAGAGCCTCGGCGAGAAATTCGATATTATGCATTTAATTTTTGTAATCAAATCTTCGGCCTTTTGTTGCGAAAATGTAATGAAATATTTGAAACATCCAACTTCTACGTGCTGTTTACTTACTTGGATTTACGCCATTGGTGTTTACCTCGGGCGACATTAATATTAACAAACAAATTGCCAAGGAATCTGCTACCGAGTGTGATCAATTTTTTGCACGAATTATGAAAATTCTTGATTTACAAGAATGCTATGAAAGGAATCAATCAAGCCTGCTAGTACGCGAAAATTCGTTTACATTGGAAGAGCTGAACGGCGCAATGGAGTAGGCTCTATGTAATTTGCACAGTGATGAAGAAGATAACAGTGAAAACATTTCGGTAAATGGCACAAATACAGAAGAACCATTTAAAGACACCAAATCAGCGAAAACCGCCTGTATTGAAGATGCGCAAATCTAATTACTATCGAAGAGGAGGAAGAAACTTGAAACCAGAAAGAATGTGAAAATGTGTGTACAATGCAAAACTGGAAGTAAATTGTCGATCGGAAAGTGGAAACTTTTCCTTAATATACCATTATAATCTTTGATTTATATTTGCTGGGCAGGAAATTCTGAAATTTGTAGATACGAAACTATACATAGAAGTGCGTCCGAGATATCTTATGCCGGACACAAATTGTTTTATTGATTGCCTCGACGACTTTGAAAAACTCATTCGGGATTTCAAACGTTACATACTTGTTATTCCGCTCACAGGTAAGGCTTTCGCTTATTTTTTATTGCTACAATTATTAAATTATATAAATAAATTCGTGTACAGGTGCGCCACAACGAATGGGTCATTTATTAACGCATCGTTATTTGTATTAGCTGAAGAGGAAAATGTTTCGAATGATGATACAATTTTGGCAACTGCTGTGGCACTCTCAAAACCTATGAGCACAAAACAGAACAGAACAGAACAAAGGTAAAGTTCACATTAAACCTGTAGGCTACCAACGCTTTAATCTTCGAATAAATAAGTTTAAGCGAAAGGTATACAATTTTAAGAAAAATTATTTGCTTGAAACTCTTTTTCTTATACTACAATTGAATGTATGTATATATGTACTACAGATCTCATTTTCATTCTTTTACATACACACATGAATGAAAGTATCAAAATAAGCTTGAAAAGTTAAGTAGTTACATAAACAGAAGGAATAAAAATACAAATATTTAAAATATGATTATATCATAAAACCAGTCTTTATTTTAAAGGGAAAATAACTAAAAAATATATACACATTCTTGTATTTCGCTTAAAATAAGAAAACAATTAAGGTAAAAACTAAAACAATTCATCGCAAATAAACAAAACTTATGTACTAAATAAAAAACAGTTTGAACGCTACATATCTATATACATATATACAGTGGCGCTCACCTTAATAGCACACTTTTATTTTTTACAATTTTCACACTGTTTTACGTGATACATTTTTTTCGTTAATTGTTTATAAAAATATAGTGAATTCTATAACATAAACCATATAGTATATATCACGTAAAACATTGGGAAAATTGTGAAACATAAAAGTGTGCTATTAAGGTGAGCGCCACTGTCCATCTAACGTAAATTTTAAAGTAAGAAATAGAGGTACATGAGTCTCAGATAAGTCCACTTGTTACAGTCGGCGAGCTTTCGCCTCCATCACCACCAGTAAATGTAGTTCCAGAAAGGAGACGTACTGGAAAGAAGCCGAAAGCATCCTCCGACGTTCTGCAAGCTGAACTAAAGATTCAGCAAGCCTTATAAGAAACAGTTACTGTAGCAGTAACGATTTTAGCAGAACATCTTGAAGAGTAGAAAAGGCACTTATGAGAGAAATTAATAATAATTAAAAGAAGTTATACATATATAGGTACATATAAGCGTTCAAAAAACAATAAAATTGTATAAAAATAATAAATAACTTTACATTTTCATCTTCAGCAAGTGCTCCATGATGTCATTGTGCCGCCGCATTTCAGCTATTTCTTCATTTTTAAGCCGCCGCATTTCAGCTATTTCGTCTCTTTAAGCCTCTCCATTTCTCCGAAGTGCCTTTTCTGCTCTGCGTGATGTTCGGTTAAACTCGTAACTGCTCCAGTAACTGCTTCTAGTAAGGCTTGCTGAGTCTTTAGTTCAGCTTCAAGAAGATCGGAGGATGCTTTCGGCTTCTTTACAGTAGGTCTCCTTTCTGGAACTACATTTACTGGTGGTGATGGAAGCGATGGCTCGCCGACTGTAACAAGTGGACTTATTTGAGACTCATGTATATCTATTTCCACTTCCTCTAGATATTCTACACATTCTGACACGTCTCGCTCAGGTTCTGCAATGGTCTTAGATACACTTGAAGGTGGCAATCCAAAAGTAGACGCAGATATGCCTTCAACACTTTCATTCATCCCAATCAGTTTGTAAATAGGTTCCTCATTGGAAGAAAGTTTCTGTTGGGTGTTTGGGCCACCGCCCGTGCCTTTACTGGCTTTTAAATTTTGCGACGCCTTTTGACGCACATATTTTTTTTGGTCGGTCCACACCTATAAAAAGTAAAGAAAACGATAATTTAAAGCGAAAACTACATATTTAATCACTTTTACAAACCTTTTTCCACTCAGTCGTATTTTTTGTCGGTGGACCTGCGGAGTTTAGTTCCACCTCAGCGTTCCGCCAAAACCGGGAAACTTCCTCTTTGTTGCCCCTATGGAAGCCGCGAGCAATGTCCGGCCTAGCTTCCATTAGGCTTATTAAAATTTCCACCTGCTTTCTATTTGTTGTTTTAGACCTAAAATGAAAGCATTGAACGTTTTATTACTCCAAATTTTCTTTAAATTGTAATTAACTTACATTTTTGTAGCAGCTCCCTTTTAAAATACTGGTGAAAATTCTCCCAGAATAACGAAGTCAATTCTCTTCCTTTTTGACATTCGTAATACCTACTTTTTTCCCCAAACACATTTTCCCTTTTTCGAAGATCGTTTAGAATAGGAGGAAAGAGAAAAGAGGAAAAATCCTCAGGAAATTTTTATTCATGATAGGAGGAAAGGGAAATGAGGAAAAATTCCTGGGGAGTTTCTGTTCAGAATCGGGCTGAATATTTTCACAAACGGGGTGCTAACGTCGGTTTGGTGAAGTTTTTAGGTGTGTATCAAGAATGATAGAATACAAGATTGCGCCGTCCTGGGCGTTGACATTTGTGTACCACAAGTAAACAAAGAATAGAGCGAAAAGAAAAACGAGTTGAAACTGCCAAAGCGGTTCACTTTACTTAACGTGTTTTAATTTTGCTAAATGCGGAGATATTGCATTTTTCTCTTAATCTATTAGAGAACAGTGAACATTTTAGTGCACTCCATTGCTTTGCAATTGAGCCTGCTTCAACAAACGTTTTAGTGCACTTTATTGCTTTGCAATTAAGGCTGCTGCAGAAAACTGCAGCAGCATCTCTGCGGGATTGATTAGTTAACTTGTTAATGGAGGCTGCGTGGAGCAGAAACAAAATCATTGTGAGGAAATGCTGTTAATATAATAATAGAGAAACATTTCGGGAGCGGCTTTGCCGTGCCCTATGTACACAAAATGCACCGATTCGTCCCAGCGCTACACTTGCATCTACGCTTCTTGCATCTTGGCGGCTGTCGCACTTTAACACACAGCACTTCATTGTGTTAGTTTTTACGCAGTATTCAACTCAAAAATCGCTCACAAATTGCAAATTAACACAATTTAAACTGATTTTTCACTTATAATTCAAATTTCTCTTTTGCTGATTTGTAAACAAAGGTTTATTTACAAGGTACCACAACTGTCAAAATCAACAAAACCAAAGTAGCGGTGCTACTGACGGCGCCACCTTTGTTCGCTGCACCGTGGGTGTGTATAGTAACAAATAGTCAGTACTAATTTGTACTGGAGCCTGCAAATTTGAACTGGAAAAGTGCAAGAACGATAGCAAGGCGTATTTAAAAGGTGATAGCAGCACCCTTTTATTTTTCTTCGCCTCACGGCTTCATATGTCAAATGGCTGCTGTTGATTGTTTATTGTTTTCTGTTCTCTTTCACATCCTTCGTATGAAATTTTTGACAGTCCTCGCCGCAAAAGCAAAAACAAAATCCATGTACATTTTGTTATTGTCGTACCGATACCACGTTATTGAATACGCCTAGAACGATAGAATACAAGATTGCGCATTCCCGCAGAATGACATTTGTGGCAATGGGTAAACACAGAATACGGCGAAGAACAACGAGTTGACTGTTGTGAATTTGCAGTGAGAAAACGTGTTTTCTTCTCGATTCACCAATTTCTCAAGCCATCTTTGAATATAGCAATTTAAGTACAACGTTAACAATAAATATAAAACCACTCTTGAAATGTGTTTAAAAGAATAGGTCTTATTAATTAACTATTTAGAATTTTTGTGTTTGTATTGGGGGGTAGGGGTACTACGGCTGCTGCAATTTAACACACGACACGACATTTTTATAAAGTTTTTATTACAAATAAAACTTTTTTACTTTAGAACGCGCGAATTACTTCGATTTTCACTTGAAAATACACAATACGTTTGCAATACGTTTGCACTTGTTTCTAAACGAAAAGTTTGTTTACGTATTGACATAAACGTCAAAGTCGTCAAAACCAAAGTAGCGGTTTCGGGAATGCGCCACCTTCAGTTCATTACACCATGGGAAAAGTGTATAGCCCTGTATGCAGCTCTCAAGAAAACGGTCAAGAAAAAATTGTCATTATTTCGTGTGTGTGTCCAAGGAATTTTGACATTTTTGATACTTCACAGCCTGTTGCCTCACTCTTTCCTCAAGAAATAATGGAACGGGCATATATTTCTGTTGCAAACCTGGGTTGCCTTGTGCTCTTTTTTCACAAAAAACTTTAGAAAACCGTAGTAGAAAGCGTAGTAAATTTCTTAAGAACTGCATACTGCCTTAAGCCCTGTATGCAGCTCTCAAGAAATTGGTCAAGAAAAAATTGCCATTATTTCGTGTGTGTGTCCAAGGAATTTTGACATTTTTGATACTTCACGGCCTGTTGCCTCACTCTTTCCTCAAGAAATAATGGAACGGGCATATATTTCTGTTCAAACCTGGGTTGCTTTGTGCTCTTTTTTCACAAAAAACTTTAGAAAACCGTAGTAGAAAGCGTAGTATATTTCTTAAGAACTGCGTACTGCCTTGAGGAAATTTGACTCAAGAAAATTTCTTAGCCATTTCTTGTACGTTATTTTATATGGAGTTTTTGCTTTTCTTGAGAGCTGCATACAGGCCTTTAAGGAAAGTTGACTCAAGAAAATTTCTTAGCCATTTCTTGTACGTCATTTTATATGGAGTTTTTGCTTTTCTTGAGAACTGCATACAGGCCTTATAACATGAACGAAAGACACAAGATCACGTAAGAACAAGAGAGTGAAAAAAGTCGATTGTTTTAGCGGGTTCTACGCCATCTTGTTTCACTGGAAAACGAGCGAAAAGTAAACAAAGCAATGAAAACAACGAAAACCAAAATTAGCCAACATCATTGTCAGCCACTTTAAACGCACAATTTAGGTAAAATGATGCAACAAAATGCTTTAAAATGTGTTGTCATGTTTAATTAACTCTTCTTTACTTGAATAAAAGTGTAAAATAGTGGTGCTTGTGATGTAAACAAACGCTCAGCTGACGAACCCGCTTTCGCAAGCTTTTTTCTCAAAACCAGTTACAAATACAACGTCGCGTTCTTACGTGATCTTGTATTTTTGGTTCATGAGTGTATAATAACCCAGAAAATTTACAAGAGAGCCAGTGTTGCCATGTCTCCGGCATGAGAAAACGTCCCTCTGGGTCTAAAAAAAACGTTATTTCGTACCCAAAAACGTGTTTTTCAAATGAATGTACAAAAAATTATGGGAAAATTTTATTAGACGGACGGCAAATTCTTGAAAAAGGGGGGAGGGTGAATAGGACCCCTGATTTCAAAAATGCCCCCCTTTTTTCTAGCAACCCTATAGTCCTTATATACCCCCTTCTTCCAGAATCCGAATTTTCGTAATTCGTAATTCGTAGCTACGCTACGAAAAACGAAAAATCCACATGCTGCAACCCTTGCGGAAACATGTGCAGCATTGCCAGCTATCAGTTGTTTTTCGAAGATAGCTGAATGAAGGAAAACAAAGGGGAAAGGAATTAAAAAAAACGCTCATGAAGTGCTTATTTATAGTAAAATTGTTTGATGTTACATATTTTGAAGGAAACGGAGGATTCTATTGCATTTGCAATTATAGCAGCGGAGTAAGAGCGTGCTATGGGAATGATTTCACAAAGATATGCGGAGCTCTCGGGCATAGCAACCATGGGCGCGCCTATGTCAGCTTCTAGTGGAATTGTTGAACCACAAGCCAAAACTACTCCTATGCTTAAAGAACTGGTTGTAAATCCGGTTAATGCAATAACAGCTCCTTTTAAGCCATTGAAGACATGCACTTTGTTAGGTCCAGCACCTGTTGCACTTGCTTCTGCCATCGTTTGCGCTTAGGGATGATAACCCTTACTAAGTATAATTCTCCTTTCTGTGTTGCCGGAGAAGAAGGGCTTCCGCATGTCAAAGGTATACAACACTTATTGTGCACATCACTCCGGCTACGCCATCCACAGTACTTTTGCGCAGAACCCACGTCGAACTTCGCAAAAAAGTGCATAGTGCAACCGAATTTATTAATATCATAGTGCTCGGAAATTTGAAACATTTATTTTAAATAAATTTTTAATCCTTTGATTACACGTGATGTTAAAGTTTTTGGATTCGGATTATGCGTTTGGACACAACAACCGAAAATCATTGTACAAATAACTAAACCGGACCCAAGTTTCTCGATAAGGGGCACCAAAAATTATGTTTTACTCGTTTATATAAAGCAGTGGATAAAAATATACTTATATGCGAAGGGCAAATTTATCTGTTTAAATGAACGCCACTAATATTTCCTGAAAACACACATCGATTTACGTTTTTTATCTCGCCTCCGACACAGAATTTTTTTTGTTCAAAATTACGCAAAAAAGCGTACTCGTTCGTTTTTAGGCATGCCATTGTTACGAATTTCGAAAGTTCGAAAATACGATTCGGATTGCAGCATACTATTTCTACGATTCGAAATAGGGGTGATAATTTATTGTTAAAGTTTTCATAAAAACGATGAATGATGGGAACTCCTGCCTTTACCGAATTCAATTTCTATCATGATTGTTATTCCAATTTTATGTATGCTTACATTCACCTACTTATGTTTATGAATTCCAATATTTGCTATTTACTTGCTTGTATATATGTACATATGTATGTATTTCAATTTGTCATTCCTGTGTACATATGTACGTTTACCGCTTTAATTGCTTACTTATTCACATGTATAATTTGTTTTTGTTAATTTCCCGTACTGCGGCATTTGCCTTTTTGTCGGGCACTTCTGTAAACCCATTTGAGTTTGCTAGTTGCTATGTATATATG